TTAGTTATAAATATTTATAAAGTATAAAACAATCATTGTCATTTCTATATTTAAAAGATATACCTAATGATTTCTGCAACAGTGAAACTTTTCCTTTTACTCAATGGTCTACAAGCCTCAATTCTTACTACATCACCTAAGGCACAAACTTCTTTTTCATCATGTGCAAGGAATTTTTTGTGCCTCGTTATAACCTATTCATTTTAGATTATCATTCAGTACTGAATAAATTACGAAAAGGTGACGTGTTGAATTATATCTAACGTGTATGACCCAAAATGATCACGTAAAAACTCGTACCATTCAATTACCTTACGAACTATAGGGTGGACGAATTGCCTTGCAACTCGTACTTTAACAGTTTTTTGCATTGCGGTACCCACTACAATTCCAAAAAAATTTTGCCGGCCCATTTTTTACTCTCGTGATTTGGTAGGAATTTCAAGTTACGCGAATATGATCTATCTAAATCTTTAAACAAAAAAAAAAAAAAACCTGCAAGCTGATTGGCTGATTTGCTTGTATATATATATACACAAATTATATGAAACTTACTTGGATAAAATCATGAAACTTACACCAGAGCTTATTGAACGTTCACTCAGTTATATTAATTCCGTAAAAGATCGTGAACTAGATTTACGGGGTATCCTTTAGAAGGGCTTTATTTAGTTGTTGACAGTTTGGAGTTTCGCTTTAAAGTGTTGTATAGATGAATACTGGAGAAATCAAATTTTCTTGGTAAAACGCTTCAGGAAAACTCGGCCATGTGTTATGCAAGATCTTTTTTTGTACGATAGATTTACTTTAGAAGAAAGTGCAAAAATAAAATGAAAGTATTTTCAGCGATGGCAAAGTTATAACTATTTTTGCAGCGATCAACTTTCCACTTTTATATATATTTTTTTTTCGCACACATTATTATTCCCTGACTCGAATTTTTATTTTTTTCCACCTATTTTTTACTTTCTGCGCTATACCATATAATAGGCAATAAAATTCCTGCCATAGAAAATCTTGGTGTCACTAAGGTGAGTAAATATATTTGTTCCGATCAACCAAATAACATTATTTTGTAACTTAGATGAAAAAATTATGTAGGATCTAAATGATACAATTGATCTAACGGATAATGACATTCGTGTTTTGGGAAATTTTCCACTTTTACGTCGCGTCAGAAGTTTGTTACTTGCCAATAATCGTATCACCCGTATCGATCCACAGATAGCAGAATTCCTTCCGAATTTAACTACTTTAGTTCTTACGAATAATAACATAACTGAAATATCGGATCTAGAACCTCTGGCCGAATGTAAAAGGTTAAAATATGTGAGTTTGTTGGATAACCCTGTAACACGGAAACAGTGGTATAGGAGTTGGATCATTTGGAAAATACCGAGTGTGAGAGTATTAGATTTCAAGAGAGTGCGAGATGTGGTATGCAATTAAAGAACATAATCCGTTTTTGTACGTATTGGTTTAATAATACACGTTTATTTTCTAAAAGGAACGGAAAGAAGCCAAACAATTATTTGAAACGGCAAAAGGGGAACCTACTTCACTTGCTAGATCTATCTCAGAAACCGTATCCAAAACTTTCGAACCTGGTGAAGGAATGGCTGCAGCTGGTGGTGCAAATCTTCCAAAATCCAACTTACCTACACTTGGAATGTCAATAGAGGAACAGGCAAAAATTAGAGTTAGTATCGTTTATCCATTGTCAAACGTTCAAATAAAACATATATAAACAAATATAAACAAATGTAAACATCTAATAAATGGTTTATTCGAACTCAATTATTTAGGAAGCAATTCGAAATGCCAAAACCCTTGAGGAGGTTTCTCGTCTCGAAACATTATTGCAGTCCGGGCATATTCCTGGTACAGGAAGACAACCCGGAGATTTTGGACAGGGCGAGAATGAAGAAATGGAGGAATAAATGCACCATTTCTTTAGAGTGCACGATTTATAGAACGAAAAAGAACAAATGCTTATATTATAAATGTTGTATGGGATTGCGAGGAATTGTGGTGCATTGGACCAATTATAACTTTAGACTACATGAAAAACGTGCTAATTAATAAATAATGTGTAATAATGGCTTTTATTATATATTTGCTACTTATTTGAAATGGTTACCGCATTTGCGCGAAATAACGCCTCGAGACGTCATTTCGCGATGATACAGTATTGATAAGTCGATTATCTACTTTTTTTCGGGTATATACGGGGTGATTACAGGTTACTGTGTAATTTTCGGCCGTTTTTTTTTTTTATCTGACCTACAGATCATTCAGTGACACATTTTACATAGTATAAAATTATTTCGATATACAAAAGATGTGATTACACTGTAACTCGTTTATTATAAATCAAATATTTAAAGAATATATACATAGTGGTTGTAGTCGGTTTGACGTTAATCGATAAAACCAAAGGAGGTTGATAAATCACACCACTGGTGCCAACACCATACTTATAATTTTAACCAATCAAATTCGTCAAATAAAAAAATACAATACGCAATATAATTTCATTTTTTTAAAATTTAGAGCTTCAAGATATTTGAGGTTAAAAGGTGCGAACAGAGGGATCTGCAAATTAGTGGTTACACAACGTTTAGTGCTTTGTGTAACCACCAATTTGAAGATCCCTATGTTCGCGTCTTTAACTCCAAATATCTTGGGATCTACCAGGCCAATTTTAATGATCTAACCACAGAAAAACCTCCTCTACAGAGGCCCAACAAACAAAAACTTCTTTAATTTTAAAAAAGTAATTTTTTTTTATTTTTATTTATATTGTTTAATTTAATTAAATTTGACAATTTGTATGGCTACAGACACGATGATTATTCATTCAATGCCTAATTATATCACAGCAAACTTCTTTTATCGATATACTCAAACCATTCAATTTAATTCACATCTAATAACTCCCGGTGTATGAAAAGATCCAAGTAACATTACTTTCCTAACACTATCACCGGCTGCCACAGAAACGGCACCAAACAATGTACCATCATCCTCAAAAATTTTCTTTTTTTCGTATTTGATCCCATAAAATTTATTTTCTCCAGTGTTGTTGCTAACTTTTAATACACTGAATGCAAGTTTAGCATCTTTTATACCACTTAGATGTAAATACATATCTGTGACACTGTTTATCGCTATTTTGGCATGAAGTTTATGATATCTCAGTATTTCAAAAGAAATTAATTCAAAAATTAACGTTCATATTCTTCACATTCAATACATGGAAATTCATAACATACCTGCGAGATAAACTTCACCAGTCACAGGATCCACATTAACGTTATCAATAGCATGTTCAACTTGAACAGCTTCCAACAGCTTTAATTTATTATCAGGCTTTCTTTCGTATACTAAAAGTTCACCCGTACCAACCGTACCAACAAAAACGTGTGAATAATCCCAATTTGTATTAATTCCATTTCCAAATATTAAACCATCAACAACTATTTCTGTAGTATTAGTTTTTGAGGAGTGAAAGACAACATTACTCCATCTTTGACGTGTTAAAACTAATTTGAAATATATAATGAAGTTAGTATAATTTCATTAACCATTTAAAAATTAAGATGATAGATACATTCAAAATGTCTCTTCCACGATCGGTAGTAAAGATCATTTGTCAAATAAAATTCATCCTTGGACACAGGAGCCACACTATTGGGATTATAAATCAAATCATGCTTAAAAGTTTTTAAATGATGCAATTCGAAAGAGTTTATTTTGTGCTTGAATAATT